TCTGTAAATCTGTATAACTTGTACCCCTTCACTGTTTTTTTTTCTTTCTTTTCTTTTCTCCTTAAAAAAAAAAAAAAAAAAAAACTCCACCTGAGGCACTTTGTGAGCAGAAGCTCCAAGTGGATTTTGAAGAGTAAGAATTTTACAAAGAATGCAAAGTATTTCACTAAAATTTTATGTTGATTATATGGCAAAATAATATTTTGCGTATGCCATATTAAATAAAATAGATGATTAAATTTAATCTCACCTATTTCCTTCTTGCTCTTAGAATTGAAAATTTAATATTTGGAAGTGTTTTGCTGTGTGTTGCTGCACACAAGGTAGGCCTTGTTTTCTGTGTGGATAACGGTAAGCCACCAGATTCCTCCCCTTCTGGGGACTTGCTGAACACATGACTTCTGTGGAGAGTGATCAGGAAATAGGCCACACTCTGTGGACCTCAGGGTCTTGGGCACAATTACTGTGCTCCACCAAGGTAGCTGCAGAGCAGCCAGGACAGGAGGAGAACCAGTGAGAGCGGCTGTGGTCCCAAGGAGTCCTAGTGACAGAAAGAGACCGGCGACACTTGCGGTCTGGAAGCAGAGTTTGGTGGCTCCCAGCCTTTATAAAGGGGCCCAATTACCAAGTGAATTCTCCTTGGATTGGGAAAGTACATTTTACATTCGTAGCCCTTGCCTATGCATATCTCTGTGCCTCTGGCGCCCCTCCCATGTGTGAGTACCTTTGAACACGTGTGTGATTCTTCAGTGGCAAATCACAGACCAACTAGCAGATGAGGAACAGGATATAAAATATGGTTGGCATTTGGCAGCAATCCTCCAAATTCCTGCCTACCCTCCGGTCTCTCTCTTTCCCTGTGTCTCTCTTCCCATTGACTGGGTGCGAGTTTGTGTCCTACCGGGTCGCTTGCGGGGAGGCTACGGGCAGGGCTGGCATTGGTCTGGGCTCACTGGGTCTCCTGAAGCTCAGTGGATATTACCATCTCCCAGTTGCCCTCTCTGAGACTCTGTGGCTTGCTGAGCGGATGTTAAGCCGTATCTTGCAGCCTTCCTCCAGCAGACCTGCTTTCAGCCAGACTCTGCAGCTCCAGGGCCAGGGCAGCAGCTTTCCTGGTCCAAGTGGTCTCCTCTCACCCAGCAACACTTGCTCGTCTGAGATATCTGCCCACACTGGGGTTCAGTGCTCACCCCACATCCCTGTAACCCCACACCCAGCCTTGCAGCTCCGGATGTTAGCCGAAATCACAGCTCTCCTCCCTCAAGGCTGGTGACTGAGCATCCTCTGCAGAGAAGTCTCTTGCATCTTTTGTTCATTTTCTAATTAGCTAATTTAGTGTGCGCACTGTTGAGATTTGAGAGCGCTTTATGAATTCCAGATTTATCAGGTCTTTAGTCTTTATCAGGTTCATGCTTTTCTGATATTTTCCTGGTCAGTATCCTGTCTTTATTTACTCTTGACAAAGTTTTCATTGAGCACAAAAGATTTAGATTTTGAAGTTGACTTTATCTTTCTTTGTTGTTTACGGACCCATGATTTTGGTGTCTTGTCTAAGAACCCTTCACTAACTATAGGCTCCACAGACTTAATCTTATGATTTTTTTTGGGTGTGTGTTTTATAGTTTTGTGTTTTGCATTTAAATCTGTGCTTCGCTGTGAGCTAAATTTTGTGTGCAGTGGAAGGCTGAGGTTTCACTTCATCCTCCAGGCTTTGGCTGACTGCTCCACAGGCTTTTGTTTAAGATGTGGCTCTGTGTGCACCTTGCTTTGGATTCTTTGTTCTGCTCACTGGTGCCCCTGTTTGTACCTCTGTCTGTGCCCTGCTGTCCCCGTTACTGTTCTCCACACTGAGCCCCCACTTTGGGAAGAGTTGGCCTCCCACTTTCTTGTTTGTCAAGATCGTATTTGCTGTTTTAGATTTTGTGCCCTTCTGTATTAATTTTAGGATCAACTCGCTTATGTCAAAAAATACAGCTCTGATTTTGGTAAGAATTCCATTACATTTTAATTAATTTGAAGCAAACAGATATTCTGACTATGTTGAGGGTTCCATTCATGAATATTTTGTCACTGCATTTATCTGGGTCTTCTCCAGTTTCATTCATTACCATTTTGTAATTTATGGCATCAGGATTTAAGCTGGTGCTTCAGTATTTGATGTGGAAAGATTATAAGCAGCACTTTCCTGATTCAGTGGTGAATGCTGATCGTACACTGTGGCCCTTCTTGCAATCACTATTTGCTGATTAGCTTTAGGGGGTTTTGTTTGATGTCACTTTTTTATAGATTTCTTGCAATGACCCGCTTTGCCCTGATGCAGCCTTGCTTCTGAAATACACTTAGGCGATTTCAGTACAGCCGTTCCTGTCTTTTTGATTAATGGGTTATCATTTCCAGTCATCTGATACTGTTACAGTTGAACTGAATTTCTTGTAGATGGAACACAATTGGACACTGAGGGCTTCTGGTTTGCTTTTCAGTGCACTCTTTAACCTTGCTTTTAATGGCATATTTATACCTTTCACATTTGATATAATTATTGATATATTTTCTCTCCTTTAGATTTTCTATTTCTTTTTCCTGACTGTCTAAGATCTACTTCCTAGAGATCCTCTTTGGTGTATTTTTAGTTTTAGTTAATGCATCTTTTGGTGTAGACATTTAGTGGTTGCTGTAGGCTTCATATGATGCACACATCACTTAGCACGGTCAGCAGAGGTTTCACCGGTGCTAGGCAAGTGCAGAAACCGTGCATCCCTGCAGGTCCCTCCATGCTTACTTGCACTATAATTGTCCTTAATTTTCCTGTATATTCCTTGAGAATAACATCAGACAGGTGGTAATGCTTTTGTTTTATTTCGGTTGACACACTGAAATTGCACATGTGAGTGGGGTACAATCTGTTGTCTCAGGACGCGGAGCCACTGGCTAATGACGGCTTTGGGGAATCATCACATTAATCACCTTAAACATTTGTCATTTCATTGCAGCTAAATTTTCAAAATCCTCTTTCCTAGCTATTTGGAACCAACTTGTGCTCTAACTATCAAGCATAATTTAAGAACTCGAGTGAAGAAAGAGCTCTGACCGTGTTTGACCGTATTTCTGGCTGTTCTTTCCTTTTTCCTCCCCGGTGCTCCAAGACGCCTTCTGATGTCATTTCCTTTGTAGTTGAAGACATTTCATGTCGGTGTCACTCCCGGCCGGCAGGAAGGACACACAACAAAGTCTGGCAGTGGACAACCTTTTCTTTTATTTTCCTTCTCCGTACAGCCTGCCCCGGGAATCCTCCCGGCCGAAGCCTCTGTTGGTCCGCTCCCCGCGGCTCCTTGCGTGCTTCTCCCTACAGTCTGTCCCGAAGCCTCTACCGGTCCGCTCTCCGCGGCTCCTTGCGTGCTTCTCCCTACAGTCTGTCCCGAAGCCTCTACCGGTCCGCTCTCCGCGGCTCCTTGCGTGCTTCTTCTGCTTCTTTTGCTTCTTCTTCTTTTCTTGGCGGGAGAGGCACTCACTTTTATAGGGTTACAGTGGCCAACCAGTTCAAAGTGCGCGATGCGGGCTGATTAGCTAACATCAGTTGTTGCTAGGCAGACTATCTTACAGGGCGGGTTGTGAAGCAGGAGATCTTACAAGGCGGGTTGTTTACCAAGCAGGAAGCAGGAGATCTTACAGGGCGGGTTGTTTACCAAGCAGGAAGCAGGAGATCTTACAGGGCGGGTTGTTTACCAAGCAGGAAGCAGGAGATCTTACAGGGCGGGTTGTTTACCAAGCAGGAAGTAAGCGCCATCTTAGCACACTCGATGGGAGGGGTAATCTAGCTCAGGCTTTGCTTTTTCCTACAGGCCTCACGTCCGCCAAGTAAGGCGACCGGGCTCGGCCGCGGCTCCCAACAATTTCAGTATTTTTTTTTAGGGTCAGATGGCTGTTTTTTGTTGTTATTGTTTTTTGTTTTTGTTTTTTAATGGGAAAATGACTTGATTCCTTCCTTATTCCTGAAGGATATTTTTGATGGATATAAAAATCAGGCTGGGCAGCTCTTTTCTTTCAGCACTTGAAAAATGTGCTGCCTCCTGCTGGCCTCCGTGGCTTCTGAGGAAGAAGTTTCTATTTTATCTCTAGGCCAGCTGTCAAATTTTTTTCTCATTCCTTTCAAGGTTTTTGTGTTTCTTTGGTTTTCCAGAAGTCTGAGTGTATTGTCTTGGCGCAGATTGCCAGGGTCACTCTTGGGTTTGCTCAGCTTATTAGACCTTCAGGTGTACGTCCTTCGCCCACACGCGGCCACCATGACTGGAACCTTCCCCGTCTTGTCCCTCGCTTTCCGCCCACTGGGCTGTGGTGACACATGTTGGATCTTTTGTCCAGGCCCCGGTCCTGGAGGGTTTGTGCTTCCCACGCCCAAGTCTGTTCTCTCTCTGCTGCTCAGATGGGAAACTTCTGTTGCTCCACTGTGAAGACGGTCGACTCTTTCCCTTGAACTCTGGGGCAGGTGGAAGGGCAGGCGCCTCTCTTGGCCGTTGCCCGGGCGGGGTATCGTGCAGTGTTTACAGTTTTCCTTGTGATATTTACCTGGAACCTCACAGTTACTACCTAAAATAGTTCTGTCTAGCCATGCTACTGGTTTCTCGGTGCTTCCCTGGAGCAAGCAGGCTTCTGCAGAGCCTGTTTTCTTTGTGGGGTCTGCTATCCGTGGAATCTCTCGTGTGTCAGCCTGCCAGTGAGTTATGTGAGGGGGTGGGAACTTTGGGGAAGGTTTCAGTGCTGTAAACATCCATTAAATATCTGAAAATAAATTAAGCGAGCCTCAAATAAATTGCACCCAGGGGGAGATGTCCGGTAGAAGCCTCCATCTTGATAATCTAAGCTATGACTAGATTTTTACTTCAAAAATAAAAGATAATGGAGTTCATGACTCTCTAAAGATCTCTGCAATCATGCAGTGTGGTGAACACGGCACCCCATAGTCCGCAGCAGACACAGAGCTCTCACCCATGTCTGTCTTTCAGGTTGGGGTTCCCGATGATGCTCGTGTCCTGCGCCGTCGGGATGTGTTACCTCCTCGTGGCTCACGTTGTGCTAGGATGGAATTAGTAGCAGTCGCCGTGTGAAGATGAAGGAAACCAACCCACCGTCAGCGTCAGGCCACAGCCACCCCGACCACCCTGTGAAGAAGTGCGGTGCTTACCCTGGGGCGCTGCAGGTGCTTGGCAATCAGTCCTCTCGTCCCTTCTCCCTCGGGAACAAATGCAGGAAATACAAGATAATTTACCCAAGGTTCCCTGACTGGAAGCCACATGTATTTTTAAAACATTTCTTGCTATTCTATGTAGGAAAAGATAAAAAGTCACTTAAAATAGCTTGCGGTTTGTCACTTCTCTTGAGGCTAAAGATAGTTTTTCTTCATGTAATTGCTTTTCATGTTAAAATAATCAGCATTCAAATCATATGCCCTGAATATAGACTTTCTGAAAATGTATGCCACTTGAAAGGAAACATTTTGTACATCTAAAAAAAAATAAAGTGTTACTTAAAAAAATTATGGAATTTATTAATTTCTTGAGTTTTAATTAGTTTGCATTATGTAAAACTACATCTTATCCATTTATATTTTTCTCTGGAGTTTTTATGTTATTATTTAAAAGACTGGGAATTTGACTTGCAGAAGATCAGAAGTGTCTTCTAAACAATACTTTACATGTTTATCAGCCTGAAGCACTGATTTTCCATTTTGAAGGTGACCCTACTTCGGTCATGACCCAGAAGTGCAGGCAGTGCCCCTGGCTCTGTTCTGTCTGTTGCACTCTGGTGCTTCAGCCAGTGTTTATCAGCTGCATCTCTTCTGTGGAGCATTCCCGTGAGGCCCGGATAACGAGGACAAAGAGCCAGGGTCCTGAGCTTCCTGGGAGGTCTCCTCTGCACTGTCCATCAGTGTCGGGGCTTAGCCTCAGAGGAAGAACCTTCAGTTTCCAGCTGTCTGTGTGCAGCACCCTGAGATGAAGATGTCCTCTGCTCGGGAAGGATCACTGTGTAGCACATCCGGTTTCCAAAGGTTTGAGGTGTGCAGGGCACTAGTAAGGGGAAAGTAAGAGATCTTTCCAACCCCAGTTCTGTTGCCAGCAGCTCAGGAGAGGTGTGCCCTTCCTACAGATTAAGGAATGTGTTTCTGCAGTGGCAACCTTCTCCCCTCCAAAAGAGCTGGAAGGGTTACAGGACTATGCTCTTTGGATTCATGAGCTGTCTTTGAAATCCCTTTATAAGAAGAATGCAATGTGACCTGTGCTTATCTTAAAATTTATTCTTAGTCAACATCCCGGAGGTGCTCTGTTTGCACATGACCTTGTGCTTGGAGAGACTCTTCCCTGACTGCAGTCTGTGAAGGAAAGGAGCCACCAGGTCCAGCTGTGTCCTCTTTGCTTGGCCTCATGGGAACTTAGGTGCCCACGGTCCTTTCACCAAAGACATTTTCTCCTTGTCTACGCCCCTATGCCCGGAGGTGGCATGGGTACCTTCAGTGCAGATCTGGTCTTCAGTCTTTAACACTTTGTTTATTCTCGAGTCTAGCTCCCCACCTCCTGCCTCTCATTAGCTCTTCAATTTTTTCTTCTCATTCTTTAAGGCTAAAAGCTCATAACTCATTTCTTCCACTTCTCTCTCTTATATTCCTCCAACCTCTCCAAAATTCACATCTTTGGTTTCTTTGGCTTCCAGCACCTTGCCTGTAATCTGGTTCCCTATTACACACAAAACTTGGTCCTCAGTAACTGTATCTTGACTTCTTCTTCTCAAGCATCTCTCGCTCTCCTTGAAACACTTCGTTACTTACCGTAGGTTATCGTGTGTTACTATTTAGATCTGGAGTACCCTCAAGACCTCATGTGTTCATCAGTGGGTCCCTTGGGAGGCGATTTGGTTATGGGCCACCCCTTAGCTGAGGTTAGGTCTGGTCAGAAGAGGTGGGTTAGTTGGAGGGTGGCCTGGCAGATTATACATCCCTCCTTCCAACTCTCCCTTCTCTCTCTGGTTCCTGGCTGGCATGGCATGAGCAGCTTTCCTCCAAAGCAGACCCTTCCACCCTCCCCTTTCTGCCTTGGAGCCAGAGGCTGTAACCATGAGCCAGAATAACGCTTCCCTCCTTTAAGTTGTGGGTGTTTGGCATTGTGTTTTAGTGATGACAGAAGCTGACTGAAACTTTGGTAGCAGACAAGTGGGGTTATTATTCGGACTCTGTACCTGACTATGTGATGTAGAAGCTCGTGGAACTGGTTTGCAGGATAAGTTAAGAAAGGTTTGGAGATGCTGGCTAGAGAAGCCCTAGACTCCTGTAATGTTTGCTGGGCTGATACCTCACTTTGTTCTGTCCCTTTCTGTCCCCGTGTCTCCCCTTCGGAATGGGAATGCTGACCCTGTGCCATTGTATGTTGGCAGTGTTTAACTTTCTTTTGAGTTTTACCTAGGATGACTGCTAAGAGTTTGCATTAGAAGAGACTTTGGGTGAGAATTTACTCACCCAAATCACTCACTGTGAGTCTCTCACTGTGGCATGAGCAACATGATCCCATGGGACTGCAGGCCAAAGAGGATCTGGGCAGTGATGGGAAAGAGCTGGAGAAATGGGTGAGGTACAGCGAGGGACCTGTTACATCCAGGATAAATGTACTCTGCATCAAAGGTGAAAACAGAGTAAGAAATAAGGGTGTTACTTAGGCTCCCGTAGTGAGGACAGCACCCGGCTCTGAAGCTCCATGTCACAGGAGGGCAGACGTCCCTAAGACTCTTAGAGGGACAGGTAAAGAGTTGCAGGGGGTGACTTACAGAGGTCCTGTTCTGCCAAGAGAAAGTCCCAGTCATTTGAACAGGGAATGGTTTTCTCTGTGATGAGCTGCCTTCAAGGGCACAAGGAGTTCTAATCTTGGCGCATCAATCACTGGGATCAGTGTGCATCTAAGCTAATCAATTGTCAGTGCAGCCACAAGGACATGGGAGGCTGTCTGGCCTTGTCAGCTGAAGTTGTGTAAACACAGAGCCCTGCCATCCTGTTCCACTAAAGTAACAGTCACACAGAACGTGACCAGCCACTGTGGGCAGCTGAACCTGAAATGTAAATCTTCACTGGCATCTTTAGGCAAAAACAGCAGCAGAAGTCCTTGCAAAAGCTGGATAACAGGAAACCCTTGTCCTTCGCCTGTCCCCTGTCAGCAGCACGTCGGTGCTGGCTCTCTTCTCTGGGCTCCGAGCTCCCACACCAGCTTCTTCCTCCTCCACCCTTCGCCTGCCTTCCTGTGTTGGTCTTCTACATGTTTTCTGGTTGCTATAGCAGTATCTTCAGAGTGCCCCAGAGGACACCCAACCTGTGAACATTTAGGTGGTGGAACCTTTGGGAGGTGAGGCCCAGGTAATTGGGGGTGTGCCTCCGAAGGTGCTGTGGGACTCCAGGGCCTCCCTTTCTGTCCCACTCTGTTGTTTCCTGGCCAGCATGAGCTGGGAAGCTTCGTCCACCACAGCCCCCACAGTGATGTGCTTCCTCACCACGAGCCCACAGGCGATGGGCCCAGTGGCTGTGGACTCTGAGAACAGAATCAGAAATAACCTTTGCTCAGGGCTGTCCCTGGCATTTGTTCTAGTAACAGAAAACTCACACCTGAGTCATCTTCAGTGCAGAGGTTCCAGGCCTGCCGTGACACACACTGGCCTCTTTTTCTGCAGATTCCACAGTGACAGATTTCAGCCAAGGATCGGAAATGTGCAGGAAAAACATGGTACCTACCCTGAACATCTGTAGCGTTCCCCTTGTAATTATCCCGTAGAGAACATAGACTACCTGCGTACAGAACACTTACATTATGTGTTATCTAGAGATCGTTTAAGGCACATGGAGGGAATGCAGGGCTCTGGGCCACTATTCTGCTGTGCTATGTAAATGCAGGGGTGCTCATGGGTTGGGGTTGTCTTCAGAGTTCTGGAAACAATCTATCAAAGTCAGTAAAACACTGTAAAATTGTATTGTTCTTCTTCACATCTTACTTAGATGGCTTCATAATTTTCTTAAAGGAGAATCTTTTACTTCTCTGGCTTTGCCTGGATGTAAGATTCCCCTGGGGTGAGAGTAGAGAGAGACTAAAATACCCAGATTTTCATCTTATTTTGTCCACGTGTTTATTTTTGATGGTCACTGGCATCCCTTCTCCATGGAGGGACACCAGGCAGGCCCAAACCTCCTCTGGGAGCAGCCTGTGCCAGCTGCGGGAGCCGCCTTTGCTGACCTTCAATTTCATTCCCATTCTCCCATTCTCTTTTATGGCTCTTGCAGTTGGTGGAAAATCAATGAGAACTTTCATGGGGAGAAATGGATTGCAGGGAAGCAGTTGCTAAAAGATCAGACGCAGAGGGATGGCTGGGGCAAGGCTGAGCGTGAGTCCTGGTGGAGGAGCAGGCCGCTGCTATTCAGAGGGACGGGCACACTGCTCTGCGGGAAGACATGGTGAGAACAAGGGTCGGCCGCCCTCCCTTTGGGGCTGAGCAGTGTGGCATTTGCCGAGTGCCTCCGGGACATCGTTCGTACCTGGAGAGCAAGGGCTCTGAGTGAGACCCACTCCCTGTGGGACAGCGCTTGGCCTCGGACAGTAGGCGTTTAGCGGCTGCCCTCACCACGGCCCAATCCATGCTTCCTGACACAGCTGGCAGATCACATGTGACCTGAACAGACACATGTCTTGTGTGTCCCAGATACATTGCTGTTGCCGCAGGAGCTAAACTTCCAATGGAGACTTTACAGAGCTGCCTGCCTGGTGCCCAAGAGACAGGGAACAGAGCCCTTGGAAAAGCACTTCCTTTTGATGGTTATACCTGGCACTCACACAGACCCTGAAATTGGTGGGAGTAACGCCTGACTCTGCCCTGTTCTTGGGAATGTGGCGCAGTATCAGTCTCTGTTCCCTATCCTTGTTACGGTCTTGGCCTTGTCCAACTCTTGTGTCCTGAGGCTGGGCTGCAGCCTCGGTGGGCACAGTAGTGTGCCTCCTCATGGCAGCCTTGGGACAGTGGTGCCACTGTGTGCCCAGGTACCCGGCTCCTTCCCTGGTATGTGAGTGCAGAGAGGTGAGCGGTGCCAGGCAGCAGAAGACACTGGAACAACAGAGGTGACCGAAGACTTTACCTAGCTCTGTGATACTTTATGCTGGGAAAGAATTAAAGCGAGCTTTCTAATGAACTTCTGATCTTGTTTACGGCTTTGTGAGCTCTGTACAGGAGAAGCAGGAGACAGCCTCCACCCTCCCGGGCTTTTCCCACTTTACCTGAGCCTCTCCGAGGCCACAGCCTCCGAGGCCACAGCCATACGAGCATCAGACTCAGCAGAAGGCCCTCAGACAACCTTCCTAAAGTCACATGTGTACAGTGTACTGCTGAAGAGTCTGTTATATAAACAGGGAGACTTTTAGGTGCTTGGAAGGATTCTCACAGTGACACAGCCCGACGATAAACCAGTTAGGGTCCAGCCGATCTGCCTGCTTTGCTCCTCTCTGGCCGATCTCTCTCAATGTT